GGGGGGGGCATTTGAAAATTGCTGTTTTGCATAAGTATAATTTGGCTATATAGGTCACGTAGTTTATTTACTCACGCGTTGTCGACAATAATTTTTGCCAGGATTGTGGTAAATGTTGCGGATTTAAGCAATTTCGTTTAAAGTCTACGCTTTACTTTAGCCTCTAGCCTTTACATGCAATTCTACCTAATCATGTAAAAGGGCCGGTTCTTCGGTGCGAGATTAAGACTTCACTCAATTCTCCCACACCCGGACGTTACATCTGCATGTGGGTACATGTATTGCTCGGCCATGGCAAACCTTGGTACGATCGAGGATGACCATGCATGGGCCACCTATTCGTTGAAAATGTTTTAATTTACTGCATGCAGTGGTTTCATGTAGAATCCATGTCTCTTTATACCTGCATGTTTTCCATAAATTATGGAGGAATTCACCCTGGATCAGGGGGTTTCTGTTTTGCTAAACCTGTAGCACGCATTTATAAAAGGTAAGGGGGATCAGAATTGACAAATTCAACATGCTGTTGCATCAAATAAAATTCCAGAAACCTGCAGGAGGGAAAGGTATAGCTAAGTATAATAATAAGTTATACAATACTTTCATCTGTTACAACTGAAGAGGAAACTAATTATAAACTACGACGGATGTGTCAATAATGGGCCATTAAAAAACATGTAAATATAGAATTGTCTTAACCACGCCTAACACCATTGCCGGCATTTATATATGAGATATTACTGGAGGCTAGTTACTCTTTTCTATTTTTAAACGCGTTTATTTAATCTGAATTACTGAAATGATCATCATGCATGATTGATGTTGTACGAGGGTACAACGTCAAAGTTGGTTGTATTGCTTTAAGTAAACAAAATGAAATATCTCAACAAAGAAACGAAAATCTATAAAAGAAGTTACTAAACAATGCCGCACACTTGATAACTTGATTGATATTTCATTTTGGCATTTAAAAAGACTTATCCCAAGCAGATTTTGGATTTGTCCATGCATGTTTTAAAACGGCTTTTGTGTGAATAATAATTATAAGATAGACTCTGATTCATTCCCAGTCGTCTCTGTGAGCACGCGCGGGCGACGCGTGGCGAATTGGAAAGCGCCCCTGCGCGCCTTCCAATTCGCCATTGATTACCCTTTCCGAGAAACTAATTTGTCAACAACGCATGCAGTACTTGCATGTATATGTAGTACTTGCATGTACATCTATAATGATCAAAGGAAAACAAGGGTTTTTTTCCAAGCGAGAATGCAATTCGCGAGAACCTGGTTACACAATGAGGCTTTAATCAGTATTATTTTTCACCCTGCTCGGTTTCCTTTGTTCTTCTCGGGGAATATATTCAATATTCCCCTCTAATCAATTTCCGTTTAATAATCCCCTCTAATATTCACCTGCAATTAATAATCCCCTCTAATATTCACCTGCAATGTCTTTGCAGCACAAAAAATGAGAAAAAAACAACATAACGAAGGCAATATGGCATTAGGAATTATTTCTATTCTGTCTCATTAACGCGACCTCGCAGTGTGAAAAATAAGTACGTTATTTTGAGGCAACGAGGGGATATGTGTTTATTTACCTCGGCGCTACGCGCCTCGGTGAATAAATCACATATCCCCTCGTTGCCTCAAAATAACCTATACTTATATCACATTTGTGTCGGTTTTCTTTGATCGTCCGAGGTTTATAACTAGCTTATATACCTTGAGTAAATGATTAGATTAAACTTGTAGACAAAACGCGAAAATTTTTCATTAAAATTTTTTGAAAATGACAAAATATGTTAGAAAACTTCCACAAATGTGATATAAGTTAGTTATAAACCTCGAAAGTCGGTTTATAACTTATATATATTGCCCTCGGACGCTACGCGTCCTCGGGGGGCAATATATCAGTTATAAACCTCCTACTCGATTTATAACTCTAACTTATGAAAGAGTTTTGCCCGCTACCAGAAGCCTAAAATATTCTTGGCGTTCCTCTCAAAATTACTTTGTTTCAGCTTTATTTTGTAGTTTACATAATTACTAGCAACATTTTTAAAAATAGCAGATGTGCCATGCACCTGTTCCGACTTGAGGCCAATGTCCTTAACATCACTGTTGTCAAAAATTGTCAAAAACACGACTCTTGTTGCGCTTATTTGTACATACCTGGCTAGCTGGGACAGGCTCTACAGTAAGAGTCGCTTTACTTGATTGTCGCAATTAAAGCCTTCGACCTAGTCGATCATAACGTCTCAAGATCGTGCATCAATTTGGCAGCCATTTTGATGTTAAAACGTCGAACTAGAAATACATCCATGCAGAAACCTCTCGCCCCTTTCTTAACAGATGAAATATAATCTATAATTTCAAAACATTTAACAATTATTCGCCGAAGGCGAGGTGATTATCGGTGAATAAAAACCGAGACGAAGTCGAGGTTTTTATTCACGATAATCACCGAGCCTGAGGTGAATAATTGTTTTAGTATAATTTCATAGGTGATTATTTGGAAAAAAAATTTAAAATGCACATTTCTTCGTCATTTAATTGACAAAACGGCTTCGGCCGCCATTTTGAAAATCGCTTAGGTGATTATCGCGTAATAATCACCTCAACGGCAACCAATCAGCGTGGGGAATTTTCAATAATCACCTATGTAATTATACTAATGATTATTAACTAAGGTCATCAACTTTAGGGTTAGGATTATGGTTATAGGATTTATTGTAATTGTAAACCCATTACAACCCAATACTTTATTACATACAATGGCTTTACAACGCCAATAGATTATTGGTTACAACGTGCGGAACGGCTGAACATGGCCGCCATGGCTTTTGTTGAGTTGGTCCCTGGGGAATGAGTGCAAACGCTCTACAGGGTGTTCCCCAATAAAGTGACACTATAGAAATTATCTCATTGTTCTTAAGCCGCTCTTAAACGCGCGTGATTACATGCCTGGGAATTTAATGAACTTGTATTTACATTTAAGCATTTTAAAACGTTTTCGCTTTGTCCAAATATTTTAACGCCCGAGTCAAGCAAAACGATTACACTAATAAACGGTTTGCTTTTTTATTTTAAATTCCAGAAGCAGAAGTTTATGCACCTGTGGGATCAACTTAATGCTAGGGCATTCAAATTATAACAATAGGATAATTTCTATAGTGTCACTTTTTTTTGGGACACCCTGTATAGGCTTCAATTTAACGTAAAATAAAACGGTAAAACGTTTCGAAATTTTGCCATGAAACGGGTAATTAACAGGGGAATAAAAAACATGCCGATAAATAATTTTCTCCAAAATACGGTGAAATATAATTGGTTAGGCACAAGCTTTTACATTTGTTGTGCACACGTAACAACGCACAAGTTGTAACAAACCTGCAGCATGCAGACTTGTAGCAATGCTGTTCCAACATCTTGTCAACAGGATGTGTTCGCACTGCTTGTTCCCAGCTTGTTGACAAGTTGTCAACGGCTTGTTGACAACTTGCTACAAGGTTGTTGAGTTCAACAGACTTGTTACAAGTTGTTCCAACAACTTGTTATCGTCCTGCAATTCAACAATTTGTCAACAAGTTGTGAGTGACAGGCTTGAAGCAACTTGATAAAATAACAGCATTGTTACAACTTGTTGACAAGCTTGCTACAAGCCTGTTGTGAACATATCTTGTTGACAAGTTGTGAGATATTTACGTGTATCGGTAAAAAGCTACTATAAAGAAACATAATAGCACAATGCGCTGGATAAATTGTCCCAAATGAACAATATAAATAATTACTACAATAGTTCATGTAATTATTCCAGCTCGAACAAACATGGCATATTATTGAGTTGAGAATGGCTTAACAATTTCGCAGGTATGAGTGAAATCGACAACACAAAGCAAGTACCGTATCAAATGTTGCTACTGAAAAGGTTTAAATACCTTGTTGCCCAGACATAGCCCTCGTTAAAAACATCACATTCGTCTTCGACAAAATTCGTGTTAATACCTTTTTGTTTTACAGTTGACGGCACTAATTCATCAAACTCCATTTTAAACAAAATCCAAAAAATCGTTTTGTGCTTATTTATACGAATTACCTAAATATGTATTCATTTATTCATTTTATTACAATTTAACAGGGATACGTTTACAACGGCAGTCAGTTTCAGCAACAAAACAGAAGAGTCGAGTGGACCATCAGAGGTTGCAAATGCATTTTTTGTGTTTGCCTTGTTTGTGGTACTCATTGGAAACCTGATAGGGAACTCCATGGTATTATATGTTGTGCATCACCAATGGAAGAACGTAAAACAGCGTGTAACCAACTCATTAATAGCCAACCTGGCTTGTGTCGACCTTTTGGTTGTCATTCTCCTCCTTTTGGCGATAATTAAATCAATCGCGTTCAGGAATGTAGGCATCCCATATGCAAAATGTCAACTCAGTGGATTTTTGGGCACTGCTACTGGCTCTGCGTCAATTCTTACTTTGGCTGTAATTGCAATCGACAGGTGAGACTAATTATTTCATTTTCAGTGTACACACATTAATTGTAGTATCGGTTGTAGTAAATTTAGATAGCTATAGGATCCTCCACGTCTCGTGAGAGACGCACGACCTTCTAACCGGACAGTAGTGAGTGAAAAGTTGTGCCAAGTTAATTGGTCTCCATTGTACCACTTGCAATCCTGCGACGAGCAGTTTCACTTCTTTACTGACACCGTCAACGAGATCATTGAGAAGTACCTCCCCCTCAGCCGAGTGAAGGCCGACTCTAATGACAAGCCGTGGATTACGTCAGAGATTAAAACTCGGATTATAAAGCGACAACGTGCTTGGTCCAGAGGAAACAATATCACCTTTAAACGCTATAGGAACATGGTGAATGAAAAATGTAAAACAGCTCGTAACTACTAGAAAAAGAGCATTGCTGACGTCCAGCAATCCAACCCGAAAAAGTGGTGGTCAGCGGTAAAAAAGGTCTTTCTTCGTCTAGAAGTACTAAAACTTTGATGTATAATAATCATCCCTACCAAGGTAAAGAATTAGCCGACCTGTTCAACGACAAATTTGTTGCTGTTGGGTCGACCCTTCCACCTCTTGATTGGACTCTGCTTCCCGTTGACGTTTATCCATCCGAATTCATCATATCCGTTGAAGATACCGAAGCAGCATTACTTTCAACTAAACTCCACTCCGCTGCTGGTCCCGACAAAATATCGGCGTGGTCTCTTCTCGAGAACGCATCCACTTTGTGTCGCCCACTAACCTCCATTTTCAATCTGTCCCTCCGTCAAGGCTTTGTCACTTCCTTGTGAAAATCAGCTAACGTTTCACCAGTGCCCAAATCTGCTCCCGCTCAAAACATGGACTCAGACTTTCTTCCCATCTCCTTCACGGCCATTATTAACAAAATTCTGCAGTCGTTTCCTTACCGCTAGCTATTCCATTCAATCATAGGACAGATCGACCCTCTTCAATTTCGCGCTCTACGAGGCTCAAGCGCAAGCATGGCTCTCGTCCACCTCCTCCATAGGTGGTACGAAGCATGCGATGACCTTGGTTCATCATTACGGATCTGCCTGTTAAGGTTCAGACACATCGGACGCGATTCGAGAACGCGACGTGATTTTTCGATTTTCACTGAGCGATAACTTTGATCCTGGTTTAAATTTTCCAAATATTTAGAAGCGCTATAAAATTTTGAGCTATTTGTTCTACATATCTTTCAAAATTTGTTCTCATTTGGCTGTTTTATTAACTTTCAAAAACTAACAAATCGCGTTGCGTTGTCGAATCGCATCCGGTGTGTATGGACCTTTAGATTTTTCAAAATCCTTTGATCGGATCGATCACAACGTCTTACTGAGAAAGCTTCAGCAAATGGCCGTACACCCAGTTCTCATTAATTGGATCGCCAACTTCTTGTCTAACAGATTACAGAGGACAAAGATTGGTCAGGACTACTCTGCTTGGAAGTATATTCAAGCTGGCGTTCCACAGGGAACAAACCAGGTCCCTTACTTTTTATAATCATGGTAAATGATCTCAAACCGGCTACAGACCTTGTCAAATTCGTCGATGATTGCACAACGTGGAAAGTTCTGTACAGAGGAGACTCCCAATCTAATCTCCCCTCAGGCGTGAAAGCGTGCGAGGATGGACATGTGATAATAACATGACGTTGAACGCTTCAAAGACGAAAGAGATGCGCGTGAACTTCTCGTCTAGTTCTCCCTCTTACCCGCCAATTGTGATCAACAATCAAACAGTCAACATCGTTACGCATGCCAAGTTACCGGGCGTTACCATCTCGAATGACTTAAAATTATATTACGGCTTTTTTCGAAAATATTATCTATAAAATTGAGCTTGAAAGTTGAAATAATACTTCTGAGAAAATATAACATGATATTTAACGTAAAAGATGCTGGAATCAATCGGAAAAGGAAACCTTTGAATTGTCGTAGTTTGTGTGGCCAAAACAACCAACAAGGCTTACAAAACGTCTACAACACCAAAATCGCAAGAAATACGAAACTATTGTTGAAGAAATAAGATTACATCATATGTTACTACATATTTTAGCTATATAGTATCTTACAGTTGTAAAACCAGTGTAATTCAGTTTTAACTGCAAAATTGGTTGTTAATAAAACGATTACGATATTGATTCATATCTTGTTGTTTATGGGTCAGAATAAGAATATCTGAGGGCCCGACTACAGTAATTGGAATCTAAGGGCCTACAATAATGAAAAACAGTAATGTATTTGAATCTAGGGCCTTATATGTATATATATATATATATATATATATACTGTATATATAGTAATGGCCTACAGTAATTGCATGGTGTTAAACTGTTGTGCTGTCCCTGCGTTTCGTTGTGTTATTTTTTATATGTGCATGTATTTTATAAGTAAAAATTATTGACGAAGCTAAATATTGACGTATAAGTATTATTGACGAAGCTAAATAAATAATTAAATCTATAACCAGAAGATACTCACAGAAACCGCTGTGGAAGAGAGAATTGAAAATGATCAGCAGAGTCACTTAATTTAACATATACGTTATTTCTTGTAGGTACACAGCGATTGTTCTAAGCCGCAGGTTGGAATTGCGCACGGTTCGAATCATCATTGCCTGTGTATGGACAATCGCGATTTCAATGGGACTTTTCCCGATCTTGTTTTGGGGGAAATATCACTACACGGAGAAAAGCCCCGTTTGTAAACCTGAAGATGGTCGTTTCCTGCTATTTTTAGCAGTTGTTTGTTTTGTCATTCCCCTACTAACAATGGTATTTTGCTATGTTAATGTTTTCCTGAAAGTTCACCGACATAAAAAAATGATCATACAATCACGGGGAGACTGCAGATTCAATACAGAATTAAAGACCACCAAAATCGTTTTTACCGTGCTGGCAATATTCATCGTTCTTTGGACACCCTACACCGTTGTCTACGTGTCGTCATCAAACAGTGGCAACATGGACACCATCCCACCCAGCGTGTTCAAGTTCTGTGGATTCCTCACTGCAATGCATTCAATGTGCAACTCTATTATCTATTTTACAATGACCAAAAGCTTCCGAAAGATTGCTGTCAAGTTGCTGCGAAAAATCTTTACATGCGTTCTCCCGGCGAACGAGGAATCGGCCGGAACAACAGAGTCGCTTTCTTGCGAAAAAGCAAGCTGTTCTGCAAAAATAACTCCTCTATCAGACAAAAAGGTTTTGCCTTTGCTAGTTCTTACAAGTCTAGCACCCGGAGATTCGAAAATATAAATGAGTGACTCAACGCATTTAGGACTCTTATGGAAACTGCGATCGAGTTACATACAGAAAAGACCTCGCGTTATTTCTAGAGCCTACGTAGGGGGAACTTCCTGCATCACATAGGCCTCAAGATATATTGTGAACTTTATTTAATTAAACACGGATTCAGTATCATTATGACAAAATGATCTTCCCGAGAGCTGTGTATGTAAAAAAAAAACTAGATTAAATCGTAATAGGAAAAATATACTGCAAAACTAAGAAGTGTTCTAAAAGAGGGGAATCTGTGATAAGATTTTGAAATTTATTGAATCACTCTTCGGTTCCAAATACAGAAACTTAATTTTGATTGTTATTTCCCTTTAACATTCTTAATTAACAGTTTATGAGAAAAGAACGAAAAGTTGATGAATTCTGAAACTGGAAAAGTATGCCATGCGGCTTCGGATATTATTATTACCAGTTTGCAAATTTTCCCGAGTTTCACTAGTCAAACTTTCAACTTATATGATATACAAGGAAGAGCGAACTTTGCGATTTTGTACATAATAATGTGTAACAATTCACGTAGTTTAACATACATCCAGTAAGTCCACCACAGAATCAGTAGATATTATAGTAAATATTATAGATGTTGATTTATTACTAAGTGCGGGGGAGGGGGAGGAATGGGGGTGGAGGGGAATTGATTTACTGGGAAACTTCCAAACCAAATAATGAAAAGTTAACAAATGGACTTGTTCCAAGTCTGCCTCTCAAAAAGGTTTTTCCTTAGTGATAAAGGGAAAAGCGGTTTTATATTTGGGAGTTATAAAGGCCGCACTTCATATGACTCACATATAAAAACCTCTTTTCCTCTACAATTCCCCCCAAAAAGACTCCTTTGCTTTTGCGAGGAAGACGCGTGGAGAAAACTCTACCAACAGAAATGAATTTTTTGTTGAGAAGTGGGGGAGATGGTAGGAGGTAGGAGTAATAAATTTCCTCCTGTAAAACGGAAGGCTCAGAGGATTTGACAAACACTGCAATCTATCTGTGAGCATATGCAGGTGTTATCCCTATCATTGATGAATGTTTATTGAATATATTCTGTACATATAGTTAAAACGTTGAGAATAAAATGTTATCAATTTACAGAGCATTCACTGTCTTGTGGTTTATTGTTACAAATATTACAAAAATCTGATAGTGATAAAAATAAACAATGCAATATCTGTAGTTAAACTGTTGAAATAATGCAGACTGCAGTACTTTACACAGTTTATTTACAGGTATCCTTGTTTTAAAGTTTGTTCGTTCACTGCAACCAGGTATATCAATCATGTTTCGCTCGCTACTCTGGTTTAAATAAATGATTACAAAGCCCAGTCGAATTGTAATCAAGACCCAACGTTTCGACACTCCAGTCTAGTGTCTTCATCAGGGGTGATCTAAAATTGCAATCGTGGCTTCTTAACACGAGATTGCGTGGGAAAACTCTAAACCAAACACGAGATTTCGTGGGAAAACTCTAAAGTAATTACCACAAACAATCGCTATGGTCAAAGACTTTGCCTAGAAGCGTGGCATATAAATATGAGTAGGTATCCTTGTTGTTCTCCTCAACGACTGAACGAGTCACTGCTATGTCCTTTTTTGCCGTATAACGGTTATAAGCTTTCAAGCATGCTTGCATGGGCATTGATATTCATACTTATGTACATCCATTAGCTAGATGTTACTTGTTCTTCAAATTGGGATAAAACTGAATAAGCCGATGTAATGATCGAAATAGCAGAGTTTTTAAAAGCGCGGGGCCTTCAACTGCTAATGAAAATTGTAATTTAGGGTTGGAGCTCGACAACTGCACGGACTCAGTTGGTCAGAGTGCTGCACCGAACTCGCATGCAGGGCCGTGCATGGGTGCGATGAATGGCTTTTGCTCGAAACGTCGAAGTTCTCCTTGTATTTTGTTAGGTAGTTGTATCCCTATCAGTCGAAAGCTTTCTAGATTCCTGCCAGTGGACCTATAGTTGCATTTTTCGCAAGCAGCTGCTTCTCCTGGTTAGGTTTAATATAAAATTTACACTCGAAATTTCCATCTTAAGAAGTTCTGCAACATTACGTCAATAGATTGAGATGCAAAAGGTCCTGTAGGCCTAATCAGTAGTGTAAACTCTTTGCATGTGTAAACTCAATTTAGTGTAAACTCTTTTGCTTTTCTTTTCACTGACAGTTTTTACGTTTTGTCTAGTCTTCCATAATTATAGTATTTTTATAAAATAGGTAATATTCGAGGCAGTATTTCTGCACGAATTCTATATGTATGTATGTATGTATGTATGTATGTATGTATGTATGTATGTATGTATGTATGTATGTATGTATGTATGTATGTATGTATGTATGTATGTATGTATGTATGTATGTATGTATGTATGTATGTATGTATGTATGTATGTATGTATGTATGTGTGTGTGTGTGTGTGTGTGTATGTATGTATGTATGTATGTATGTATGTATGTATGTATGTATGTATGTATGTATGTATGTATGTATGTATGTATGTATGTATGTATGTATGTATGTATGTATCTACCTAATTTTTCTTGAAAGTAACTATTTAGAGCCTGGATGTACGTCTAGCAGTAAACACTAAACGTCACTATATTTGCTTTGTCACTATTTGTCATCGGTCAATGAATTCTTTAGCTCCATACACGCCGTACACGCGATGTGACTTACGAAATGTTTGAATCTGAGTGTTTCGTTTTATTCAAACTTGGTTTATTCTTTATTGTCGAAATATTCGGCTGCTTCATTCTAACACAGATATACTCCGTTATAACCAAGACATATATAGCCATTTCCTAGGGGGCATAGCATAGCTACAAGTAGCTACAGGCAATTATTGTGGCTTTTTCCGAAGAAATAAACGATTTGCATGGGTTCACAATCCGCAATCCGCATCCGCAATCCGCATCCGCAATCCGCTACCCGTAAAGTCTACCATGCCGTTGTTTCGCTGTTTTGTTTCGTCGTTTCGCTGTTTCGTTTCGCTGTTTCGTGGTTTAGTAATGTCCTCGCCCCAACGACTTAACGCTCCGTCGAGCGTCTTGTTTGATTCAAACTTTATCAAACATTAAATTAATATACACACACGATACAATCACTCAGCAGATATTAAAAAAAAAACAGTATCGTAGGATTATGGTGACGTCTTATCTGTCTAACTGTTAAATGCTAATATATTTATTGACACGAAATTCCACTGCTTAACTGTACAAACGTTTCAAAATAAAAATAATCAAGAAATGATCTTATAAAATAACATGTATATAACGCGTGTTCTGATTGGTCGAAACCCGTGTTTGGATCAGGCCATCCAAACACGGAAGACTATCGTGTTGTTGTTATTTTATAAAACAATTACTTTATGGTTTCCCTCAGGGTTTATTTTAACGTGCAGTTCTACACAAAATGTGCAGTTCTAAACCCATTTGTGCAGTTCTTAAAACACAAATGTGCAGTCACCAAACTAACAAAAATAGCCTTAATTAAAACAGTCTTCTCATTTATTCGTTACCCTTGTGGATGCTCCAGAAAATTCCAGAAATGCTGTTATTAATTGAGCATAAAAAATCTAAACGATTTCTGGGGAAGACTCCAGACCCTCCTATTTTCCTCACAAATCACTTACGTGCTGGGGTAATGGAAAAGAAAGTAAAATTGGGGCGAGCGAAGCTTCCAAAAAGAGATTAGAGTGGGAGAACCTAATATTCTTATATCCATAATTCCCAGTTACATGTTTTGAAAGAGTTTTTGTGAGTGGTTGGGTAAAACAAATCTTTGCCAATACTTAACAGCCTCAAGATTCAAATTGTTTTGGGGAACACCCCTAGCTCCCGCACCCAAAATCGAGTTTGTCTGGCCTTTCTCCAATTCTCCCTCCCAAGCACACTATTATTCTGTCACCTTACTCATCTATATGCAGGTAAAAATCCTTCAACCCCCCCCGAAGTCAAACACCCGTTGCCTTCGTAACATCCCTATGTGTGCAGTTCTAAATTTTTCTTAAACTTGGGAATGTTGCTCGAGTTAAGAAAAGCGCGCAAAATCACTCGCCTTCGGCTCGTGTTTTCGCGCGCTTTTCTTAACTCTCGCAACATTCCCGCGTGTTTGGATCAGGCCATCCAAACACGGAAACCATAAAGTAATTGTATATTGACTCGAGCTGTGCTCTCGTGTTGTATATCAGATAAAGCACTCCTTCTCTTGTTTCAAATCACGGTACATCATACTTCATGACCTGTCATTTGAGACAGGCAACAACAGTCAAGCATACTTTGATGTCGCATACAAACGGCTTGACATACCCCAGTGAATGGCTTGTGGGGGCTGCTGTCTCTATACGTAATAATGTCTGATTCTCAATTGATGTTTTGCCGGCTTTGGTACGGCGATTTATTGAAATTACAGATTTACAAAACTCATTTCGAGTTATAGTATTTTAAAATTTAGTCAAAAATCCTATTTAGTCACAGTTAAATGGTGACCATAAATTTTCTGCACAATTTGAAAAATACAAATTACCAGAATAATTAGCTACTACACTTTCGAGAAGGGAGAATGCATCTCACAATAATTCTTAAAAACCTATATATACTAATACAACTTGGCAGATATTGTGAAGATTAGGAAAATGATAGCAATACCACTCTTAGTGAATCATAAATATAATTATGTTTGAGTGAATAAATGAACGAATGGTCAAATTAATGAATAAAATTAGAACCAAGATACATAAAAAATTTTAAAAAATAAGTCGAATTTCCACTTACCCGCCATACTTGTAGATTGGAATGACTTGTAAATCTTTCCAACTCACATTCAGGCGTCGTATTAATATGCTCCATTTCAGTGGAAGAATGTTTTGCGGTTAAGCACAAAATGACCTTATTTCGAAACATTGCGCCCTTAATTATTACAATTACCACATTTTTTGTAGTAATTGCAGAGAATGGTACATTTTGCTTTGCCTTTGGGCACAGGAAACGAAGCTACTAGACTGCATGGACTAGGATAGTATTGTCTTCGATCATGTGGGCGACCAGTTTATTGAAACTTTTGCAAAAATTCACTAATTATCTTGGACAGAAAGAGTTTTTTTTTGTCTTAGATCTTAAGCCGGCTTTCCACTATAGCGAATTTTCTCACGCGAAGCGAAACAATGGAGATGGACTTCTGGACGAAACAAATAAAACAATGGAGATGGACTTCTGGGGCCGGTTGTATAAAAAGTGATTAAATTATAAAGTTCACTATAGTTAGTGGAAATGTCATCCAATAAGAAGTGCGTATTTGAGAGTTAATCACTATTTAACTCCAAAATAGTGATTAAGAGTTTTATACAACCGGCCCCTGTCAGTGTAGTATTCTGTGCTGACTAGTGACGACACCAAGGTCAAGGAAAAATCATCATACGTACTCTACTGAGAATTAAATTAATAATTATTTGATTAATTAAACAATTGTGCACAGAAAACAGGCAAATTAATTTATGGGTTTCACCTCTATATTAACCGTGGTTTCACTAAGGAATCTAAAACCATCATTCCTCGAACGCTTTCAGGGTTCGTAGTCTCCAAGATCAAAAAAATTCAAAGACTTTCAAAGATTTTTTCTGCCTATTTTCAAAGACTTTTCAAAGACCTTTGTGAGCAATCAGCTGTCGAAAAATTGCGAGTGTAAGCACCATTTTTATCCAGTAATTAGTCCCGTCAAATCACATCCTAAAATGCGCATTTTCGTCGATATTTCCGAAAATTGTTCAATCTATTTTATTAGCTAGGAAATCGCATAATCAATTCCTCAGTCCTCACTAAAGAATTTAAAGACTTTTAAAGACTTTCTTCCCTTTTTCACACAATTTAAAGACTTTTCAAAGACCTCAAAGACCTGCATTCCAATTTTAAAGACTTTCAAGGTTTTCATAGACCGCTACGAACCTAGCCTGCGAACAGGCCCTGGGTTACGGGCGGCGCGAAGAATAGAGGGCCTGCACGGAACTATAGGTTTTCTTGGTAGTGGCGTTCGTATAGAAACGCAGGCTTCTGATTGGCATACACTCGTTGACAAAATCAGTACTAAAAATAGCA